CTAGTCTTTATTAGATATTAGTTTATTATAATCTATAAATCGTTTAGTATCTAAGAAGTATTCTTTATTATTAACTATACTAATATTTTAAATAGGTAGGTCTTTATAGTAAGCTACGTTAACTCCTTTCCCTTTAGTAACTAGTTTCTACTATTTCTTAGGTGCTCTATACTTATTTATAAAGTATCTAGCTTTCCTATAATTATAGTATTTCTTTCTTTTTTCTTTTCTAGTAGCGTTAAGTTCTATTAGGCCTAGGTAAGTTCTATAGGCTATAGATCTATTTTAACGTCTTCCTATATTCGCCTAATTACGTTATAGGGGGTTACTTTAGTAGCTTATACCCCTTTTACTATATTTAAGTTATCTAGCGTAAAGATAATTATTAATCTTAATAATTTTCTTAATAAATTTATTAAAGTTATTAAGTTAATCTTCTTTAGTGATTTTATCTTTTATATCTTCTTATAGTCTATTATAGAAGAGTTTTATTTAGCTATTATTATCTTAATTAAGTTTAGTAGTAATATGTCTAAACTCACACACATAGTGCTAAGTAGACCTAGTCTACTTTAGGGATTTAATTTTATATGTTATAGTTTAGATCTTATCTAGGTCACTAAATATAGTTTATAGAGCCTCCTTAAAGTTCTTATACTCCTAGAAGATTTAAGTAGTCTTATTAGCAGGCTCCTCTTTATTAAGGAAGTCCTTAAGAGTTAGCTCCTACTATTCTATTACTTTACCTATAAGAAGGTTTCTAATATAAAGAATCTTTATAGATTCCTTATTAATAGAGTTATTAACCTTTAGGTAGGCTTTAGCCTAGGTAAGAAAGGTGTAAATATCTCCTTTAGTTCTATTAAATATATTAGGCTTAGGGAACTTAGGTATTATAGTTACCTTCTTTTCTTCTAGTACTAGAGCTTTAGTATCCTACTATAACTTTTCTAGTTACCTACGAAGGTACTTAATCTTTTTATTAAGATCGCTAATTACCTTTGTAGCGCTAGTAGTAAGTCTACTTATAGTAAATATTATAAAAGGTTAGCTACTTAAGGTTTTAAGGGTAACTTACTAAATAAGACTAATTAAAATATAATAATAGCTTATCCCTAGTCTATAGTTAGTCTATTTCTTAGGAAGTAAGTTAGGTTTAAATACTATAAAGTAGTAATAAGTGATATCTTTAGTATAAGGAATTATTAAGAGTAAAACTCTTAAAACTAATTACTTAGAATTACTTAGATTAATTAGTAGAGATCTAGACTACCTAACTATAAGAGTTCCTCTCCCTTAAGTACCTATCTATATCTCTACTATAGAGACTAATCACCTTAATTATCTAACTATCTATTAATCTCTAATTATGGTGATTAATAGGTGATCTATTAATTATTCTTAATGTAGTCACATGACCACGTGTTCCTCTTTTCTATGTCTTACCTGTGGCTAACCCCGCTATAGTACATGCCCGCGCCTCACGTAGGAGCGTTCGTAACAAGTACTTATCTCTTTCTAAGGGGTTTTAAATTAAGTAGTGCTAACCGGACGACCTCTTTTTGCTACACGAACGAGCCTCACGTGACGCTACTAGTAGATTTTCAGAAGGTACATGGTTTTTAGTGCAAGTCCTATATAAATAGAAGTACCTTTAAAAACTACATTATAATTAATTTTTTCTATATGCTGCCGCCACCAACCACCACCCCTCTCGTCACCGCCGCCGCCGCCACTCTCAACACTCGCCAATTCGCTTAAAAAACGCATTTTCACTATTTTTAACGATTCTACACACATCAGACCCAGATCAACGATTCTTCCGCGCCAATTCCTGCCAGCGCCGCCACCACCACACGCCTCCAGAGGCTCTCAACGCTCGCCAATTCACTTAAAAAACGCATTTTCGCTACCTTCAAGACATATATACACAGCTAGCCAGAAAAAGGGTTCTTCCGCGGCCACAGCAGCCTTTAACCGACCAGCTCTACCTATATTCTCATATAATAAACGCTTAAACAAAGCAGCCACATACTCCGTCATAAGGAACGCCCTAATTACAGTAAATTAACCGATTCTAGCCCCTATTATAACGGCTATAAAGGTCTCACAATTCTCTCCATTATCCATAATAAAGGCACCTCTATCTAACCATTTTAAGGCAGCCAGGGCCTACCGCGGAGGTTCTAGACGACGTCTAGATCCTATATTTAGCGGAGGGGTTCCTCAACATCCTACTATTATATTAGTATAATTTTTATATAAAAAAAAAGCCCTTTTCTTACTAGAGGCTATTAAAGCCACTATTAAGTATATACCAGATCTATACTAATTATAATCTCTTATTTAATATAGCTTTTTAGCTAATATATATAAAGAAGCCTATATTAAGTTATAAAGTAATATATTAGCCTAACTAGAGGTAACCTATAATAAGGATCATTTAGCTACTTAATTAAAGCTATAGCTTTATTATATTCCTTAATAATAAGCTCTAGCGCTATATAGCTTATTAAGATAGTTAGCTCTCCAAGCCACTTACAGTTAAACTTCTATATCTAGTAATAGGCCATTATAGCGGCTTTTTCCCTATAATGCTATTCTTTCTTTTTAACCATTTATATTAGGGCTTTATAGAGCCTAAGGAGGTCGCCGTTACCTCCAACAAGGTGTGATTTAGCGTCTTTATAACAAGATTCGTTCAGTAAATTCGTTTATTAGCCGAAGTTATAATATTCTTTAATTCTATACTATACCCACTAGTTAATAAAAGGGAAATATTAGTTAATTATATACCTTAAAATTCACTCTTAGCGCTAAAATTTATTACACATCGCCTTCTAATTCTAGTTAAAATCATTAGCTATTAGTATAAAAACAACCCTCTTCTAGGCAGTAAGTATACTAGCGCAATTATAATTATCATAGGCCTTAGTATTAGGGCTTCTAACTATAGCGATAACCTCGCCTTCATTAACAGCTAGCTCTTCCACATCATAAGATATAGCCTTCTAATAGGTGTAAATCACACGGCGGGTATTAGCGTTAATATAGAATACGCAGAGTTATTACTAAACATCTAGCTATATCTAAAGAAACGCTTTTTTAAGTGCAGATTCGTCATCTATAATAACAACAGCAGGTCATAATATACCAATACCTCATCAGAAAGCTTCAAGCTACTCAACTAGCCAGGTATAACCCTCAAAGGTCTCACAGTTAAAGAGGCCCCAGGCTAAATTAACAACAGAATTCTAATCTATTATACCAGTAACTTAAAAAAGGTATAGCTTAAAGCAGTTTATTTTATATATATTATCACAGCTAATAACCTCTAGGAATCACTTCCACATTAACTCACACTAAGGGTAAGTCTAGAAGATTCCCGTAGGCGTAAAGCCATCAAATCTAACAACATAACAGAGGTTTTTCTACTACAGAATTTATATCCATTATTATATTAGTGTTAGGCTATTAAGGCTCATAAATCATATCTTTTAGCGGTCATTATATATATCTTTTTAGATAAAGACGGGCTATTTATTAGCATACGTATCGCAGATAATTTACGCAACCTCACGAGCTAGAAGAGCCTAGTGCTTAGTAAGGTTACTAAGAAGCGCGGTTTATTTTAAAGTACACTTTTAATACATAACATAGGCGGCAGGGTCAAGGGATAGCAGGTGGTTATAGAAGCCCTCTTTTACCTTATAGGTCTAGAGGTTATTTAAAGATAAATTTCGTCTTATAATAAGATAAAAAGGGCACTTAGTTTTCTATATTAACCGCTCTCGCAGGCCGGCCCCCTCTAGAGGCCTCTAGCCACCTTTATCACAGAAAATTTCATAAGAAGTTATATAGTAGGTGCTATTATATTACCACTTTCCTAACATACGGCGCTTAATAATTACAGCGCCATTATAGCGATAAAATTACTATAATAAAGAAAATAATTTATTAAGAGTATTAAAGAGAGATACTAGCAGCGGCGGCAATAAAATTAATATAGGTGCGTCCATTAGAGGTTATAGTAATAAAGGAAGAAAAAGGGGTTAGTATAGGGTGCTAGCGGCGGCGTTAGTATTAAGGTTAGCGAGGAAGAAAAACAGATTTCCTATTTTAGCGGTTCTTTTTAGGTACTTAATTTTCTATAGAGTGCGCTAATAAAACAAGGTACCTTAGAAGTACTATAGCGGGGTAGGTCACGTGAGGCTCATTTATATAGCAAAAAGAGGTCGTCCGGTTAGTACTACTCTTTAAATTACCTTAATAAGAGCTAATATATAATATAGGTAATATTAAATATAGTAATATCTAGGTATTTAGGGAGTAGAAGAGTAGGTTAAATTTAATTAATAAATAAAATACTAGTAGTAGACCTTAGAGTATTTATAACTAATTTATAACCTAGGTTTTTAGTAAGAGAGTAAGATAAAATAGTTACTTATTCTATTTTTACTATTATTATAAGGGAATTAATTTAAAATAAGTTAAGAAGAAGGAGAAAAAAAGGTATTATAAAATAGATAAGAACTAGTTAAAAAGGGTTTTTAAAAGGTAGTAAAATATAAGGTAAAATAACTAGTAGGATTATAT